AACTCATTAGTCAACAGAGCCAAATATCAACAGTAACAACGACTGAAATTTCTTTTGAGAGCCAAAATTTTTAAACTTAGACTTCTTCTAATGCCACTTCTTCAAAGTTGACTCACCCAGGCATGGTATTTTGTGGAAGAGCCATACTCAAGGGGCCAAAGAGCCACATGTGGCTGGCTAGCCACAGCTCGCCGACCATGGCCTTACAGCACTCAGAGGCTTTCTATAAGCAAGCCTAGGAACCTAATAGCCTTAGGGAACAGATTCCTAGGTCAGTAACTTTCATTTCTCTCTTAAAACTGACTTGCCCAAGGATACACCAAGTGTACAGGTTCTCTTTCCTTGTCACTCTTCTCCCACTCTGGGGGGGGGGGGGGGGGGGGGAGAGGAAGGAATACAAGTCACCTACCTAACCAAGTTCATTGTTCCAAGGTGAAGAACCTCTGAGAAGGCAAGTAAAGGGACTTATTCCAATTTTTGGTGTTAAAAAAGTAAATGAACTCTAATGACAGACTAAAACCTTGGGTGGTTTCTAATTTCTGCTTTTAACAAACTGAAGAAATTGGAAGGCTCATTTAAGTAATTTTTACTGATAGATGACTATGTGATTTTAACAAAATTTTTAAAGCATTTAAAGACTCACTGGAATGACACTATTACAGTAAGTCTTGGAAATTCATGTACTTACTTATATAAACGTGTTCTCTCAGCTCTTATGTTAAAAGAATCTCCTCCCAACCCTTAAAACTCTTCATTCTTAATTTTTTTCTGCTCCCTGTTATTTTAACGCTTTTGTGGTATTTTAATTTGCATTTGTATCTCATTTCCTTACAAAAACAGGATATAAATGATGAGAAGATTTGAGTCTTACAGTGACTTCAGGAGGTATTTTCCTCTTTGACCTAGTAAATAGATACAACTGCTCATGGTGGGGAATCCCTTTCTACCTGCTCTTGTAGAACCTCAGTAGGGCCACCTACACCAAGTCATTGGTTGTACCTTATCCACTTTACACAAAGGAGAAGAGACAACCTTGATGATCATGATCCCTGTGGTGCGCAATTCAGTGTCACATGGTGTCAGGCAGTTATGAGAGAACCACCACCAATAAAGTCAGCATTTCTTACACCTTGTACCCAAATGTCCTCCTCCTTTATGTTCTGAATGACAATTCTTTTTGTAGTTGTTCCCATTTGAAATATAATCAAGAATTTTATTTTTATTACTATCAAAGGCTTCTTTATACTTTTCTTAGTTTTATAATAGAGAATTACAGACACAGGAAGGAGTTTCATATGTTAGTAGCAGGAATGAGCTCTGTAACAAAAGACCCAAAGAACATCAAGTATGTTTCACAGGAGCCATAAAATGGGGTGCCCAGAAAGTAAGTAAACAAGGCATGGTTACCCCAACCTTCTGAGAAATCCATGTGATACCCCACAAAGTAGCTCTCATAGGCACCGTGAAGATCCTGCATCCCCAGGAATATTTGGTCCAGGGAAATGGCTGTGGATTGGGATACAGCTTGGAACCTCCTCCAGCCTAAGGCTTCCTCAAGAAAGCCAAGCACAATGTAGCAGGATATAAAATTAATGCCAAGAAATCCATGGCATTCCTAATCACCAACAGTGAAACTACAGAAACAGAGGCTAAAAAAGCAATTCCATTTACCATCGCACCAAAAAAATTAAGATACCTAGGAATAAATTTAACAAAGGAAGTAAAGGACCTATTTGTGGAAAACTACACGACACTGAAAAAAGAGATAGAGGAAGATGTAAGGAGATGGAAGAACATACCATGTTCATGGATTGGTAGAATCAAGATCATCAAAATGTCCATACTTCCTAAAGCAATCTATAGGTTCAATGCACTCCCCATTAAAATACCAACGGCATATTTCACTGACCTAGAAAGAACTCTCCAAAAGTTCATTTGGAACAATAAAAGACCCCTAATAGCCACAGCAATCCTGAGAAAGAAGAGTAAAGTAGGAGGGATCTCAATACCAGAATTCAAACTATATTACAAAGCCACTGTTCTCAAAACAGCCTGGTACTGGCACAAAACAGACATATAGATCAATGGAATAGAATCGAGAACCCAGATATCAACCCAAATCAATATGCTCAATTAATATTTGACAAAGGAGGCAAGAATATACAATGGAGTAAAGACAGTTTCTTCAATAAATGGTGTTGGGAAATTTGGACAGACACATGCAAAAGAATGAAACTAGATCACCAACTTACACCATTCACAAAAATAAACTCAAAATGGATACAGGACTTAAACATCAGACGGGAAACCATAAAAATACTAGAAGCATCCACAGGCAGCAAAATCTCAGACGTATGCCAAAAGAACTTCTTCACTGATACTGCCCCTAAGGCAATGGAAGCTGAAGAGAAAGTAAACAAATGGGACTACATCAAAATAAAAAGCTTTTTTGCAGCAAAAGAAACCATCAACAAAACAACAAGAAAGCCCACGGTGTGGGAGAACATATTTGCAAATAATACCACTGATAAAGGTTTAATCTCCAACATTTACAGACAGCTTATACAACTAAATAAAAGGAAGATGAATGATCCAATTAAAAAATGGGCAATGGACCTAAATAGAATATTTTCAAAAGAAGACAGAAGGCCAAAAGGCTCATGAAAACATGCTCAAAGTCACTAATTGTCCAAGAGGTGCAAATCAAAACAACAATGCGGTACCATCTCACTCCTGTCAGAATGGCCAACATCAACAAATCAACCAACGACAAGTGTTGGCGAGGTTGTGGAGAAAAAGGAACCCTCGTGCACTGCTAGTGGAAATGCAGACTGGTGCAACCACTGTGGAGAACAGTGTGGAGTTTCCTCAATAAACTGAAAATGGAACTCCCATTTGACCCAGTAATCCCACTTCTAGGAATATATCCCAAGAAACTAGAAATACCAATCAGAAAGGATATATGCACCCCTATGTTCATAGCAGCACAATCTACAATAGCCAGAATTTGGAAACAGCCTAGGTGCCCATCAGCAGATGATTGGATCCAAAAACCATGATACATCTACACAATGGAATACTATGCTGCCATAAAAAAGAAGGAATTCTTATCATTTGCAGCAACCTGGATGGAATTGGAGAACATCATGCTGAGTGAAATAAGCCAATCAATGAAAGAGAAACACCACATGACCTCACTCATTTGTGGATGATAAAGAACATTATAAATTGATGAACCAAGAGACAGATATAGAGACAGTAAAGCAACAGGCAGACTGTCAAATTACAGTGGGGAGGGGAGGAAGATCTGGGGGAGATAATAGATCAACCGAAGGACTTGTGTACATGCATATAAGTACAACCAATGGACATAAAACTCTGGGGAGGGAGGGTATGTATGGAAGGGAGGGAGGGGGGCAAAAAAAAAATCAATAAAATATATTAAAAAATAATAATAATAATAAAATAAATAAAAAATAAAATAAAATAGCCTGACCTAAGTCTTGGAAAATTGCTTCTCTGTGAAACTCAAGAGTTCATGGTTTTGTGATTCTCATCAGCTGGGAAAGAGTTTGGGGTCCAGATGGCTTATAGGAAAATGAAAAATTATTTTGCTATTGATTAAAGGAAACATCACCTCAATTTATATATATGGTTACACTATTAAATCCAATATTCAAAAGTAAAAAAAAAAAAAGAAAGCCAAGCAAATAATGTGAGAAAAGTTTTAGCATGAGCAGTGTCAAAGTTACTATAAACTATAAGCAACTGTAAGTAGTTCATCCTGATTGTTTTCCAAAACAGCTCCTTCCTCCTAAGAGGCTCTGAATCCAGACCCCAGATACCCCAAGGGGATAGGCCTGCAAGTCTCCTGCTAATAGTCCTTACCTAAATCTAAGAATTGAACCATATGAGAAATCTTACGGCTGCCTTAAGAGCCCTGGATGCACCCTCTTCCTCACCACCCCAGGATTTATGGTATTTCCACTGAGCTGAGTACTTGAGCCCAGCTGGGGAGAACATGCCATCCTAACAATGAGATGCATGACAGGTGCCAAGGACAGAATGCCCATTTTAACCAACTGATAAAGAATGACAAAACAGTGAAAGTTTTCACTCTGAAACTAAAAAGAACCTAGTCAGCATGGCTCAGTTGTTGAGCATCAACCAATGAAGCAGGAGGTCACAGTTAGATTCCTGGTTAGGGCACATGCCTGGGTTGAGGGCTCAATCCCAGCATGGGGCATGCAGGAGGCAGCCAGTTAATGATTCTCTCTCATCATTGATGTTTCTATCTCTTTTCCCCTCCCTCTCTATTCCTCTCTGAAATCAATATTAAAAAAGAAAAGAAAGCCGAAACTGGTTTGGCTCAATGGATAGAGCATGGGCTTGGGGACTGAAAGGTCCCGGGTTCGATTCCGGTCAGGGGCATGTACCTTGGTTGCGGGCATATCCCCAGTAGGGGGTGTGCAGGAGGCAGCTGATCGATGACTCTCTCTCATCGATGTTTCTAACTTTCTATCTCTCTTCCTTCCTCTCTGTACAAAATCAATAAAATATATTTAAAAAAAAGAAAAGAAAAGAAAAGAAAAAAACAACAACAATATTTTAATTCTGCTCTTTGTGTGGCCCACAAAAGAATGGTGCAGGACATTAACTAAGTGTTATTCTACAGTGGGATATTCTCAAATGTAAACTACCACAGACTGCAGAAGGCACTATTCTACACCTTTCTAATGAAAGTAAAGAAAGGCTTTGCCAGTACCTATTCATTATCCACAATGAAGGGAAATACAGGTTTTTATGTATAATATTCCACTACCGTGCCTTCATTGTATATCATCAGCTCCCAATAGACATTCAATCAAATTCATTACTATACTATACTATACTATTACTATACTATACTATACTATACTATAAAGACATTCAAAAGACATTCTCCTTCCCAAACAATTCCACTGCTCTTCCCTCCAACACACACACACACTCACACTCACATGTCCTCCACTGTAATGTCTTTCAGGATCTGGCAGTAATCCACATTCCACACAGCTTGGTCATCCCACACCTTGGAGGCCAGCAGGATCGCACCCAGAACAATTCGCTTCCAGTTGGCTGGACAGATATCTATCTCTGCATATGTTAAAAGTCTTTCAAGGTATACCTGGAAGAAAAGACAATGCCAGAGATAAGCAACTTGAGTTGTTTTCTCTCACATACTACCACACATAAAATTCTAAAATTGCCTGATTACATTTCACCAGTCTCTAACAGGATTTAATACCTGATCATATTTATTTTTAAAAAGTCAAGAGCTCAAACAGTCTGGTGTATAATGCACACATTCTGTAATTGTTGACAAACACATTTTTAATGAAAAATTTCAGCTAAAGATAGAAAATAAAATAGGATTTACAAACTGGCATAATTTAGTTTGAGGATAGACATCAGAAATACCCACAAAGCCACACCACTTGAGTTGGGTAACAAAGAATGTCTTTTAAAGTTTCCTTTGGTAAAAATCTGTTATATTTCTCCGAACAATGGAATTCTTTTTCTACAGTTTATCATTTATAAACCTGAACTGCATCAGAAAGGGACAAATCTAATTATCATACTTCTCAAAAAACTTGCTAATACAGACAAAATCTATAGTATTAAAACTATTCATAGTTTATAATTTCTGTAAAGTCTTAAAATATGCAATTTCTAAAAACTAATGTGTGGAGATGTTAAATACACAAATAAAATAGAAATTATATTCTGCTAAATAATATTATTGCTCATATTGGGATGGGAAAAGTTAAAAACATTAGGACTCTGGAGGGGAGGCTGTACTTTAGGATCTTGAGTGATTTTGTGAAGTGTGACATGAATGTGGAAATGGAAAAACATGATAATGCCATAGCTGACTAATATTATACAACAAAAAAGACTACAGGATGAGAACAATAGATGATAGGTATGGTTAAACAGGAGGACTTTATTCACTGTAAAATACTGAGCACTCAGTAAGTACCAGCTCTGTGCTCATCACTGGAGATAAAGTGTGGAGGGGGCAGTGACCCCTCCAGCTACGGAGAGAAGAGGGGCTGGAAGGAAGCATAGCTGACGGGAAGAGGCATCAGGAGATTATGAAGCAGTCCTCTAAAGCAGGGTTTGACAGTGGAGACTGGCAGTCACATTCCAGGGATTCTTGTGATCCCAACAACTGGGCTGCTGTGGGAGGTCCCAGACTTCCAGGTCACACAGCTGGATGGGTGACACCTTCTGAGATAGGGAACACCAGGCAGCAGAGGTTGGTGAAAAATGATAACAAGGATGGCTGTAGATGTTTTCTATCTGAGATGTCCCAGAGAATGCCAGTTAGGCAGCATACATGCAGGTCTGGAGCACAAAGGAAACAGCACTGAGATTGAAATCTGAGAGTCTGTGACAACACAAACAGAGTAAGTTGTGGGCATGGATCCAATGACCTGGGGAGAAGGGGAGAGAGAGAAAAGAAGGGGACAGGCCTTAGCCATGAGAGTTCCTCTTGTTTTAACATCTGGAGAGAGGGTCAAGGGACAGGCGAGGGAGGGATAAAGTCTATTATGTTCTGCTCTGAAGTCTTCTAATAGTTTGGAGAAGAAATTACAAGGTTAAAGCTAGGTATTACAATACTATACAGGGCTTCTGAGTAGTGGTCTCTTTAACAGTGAAACATAAAACTAAAGAAGCAAGGCCACTTCAGACAGTGACTATATGGGTGAAGAGGGGCAGGGGAGGCAGCAGGGGTCAGCCATCTAGAAGGGAGAAGGGGAGAAGGAGGGGCGGAGGTAGAAGAAAGAGGAAGAGAAAAGGGGAAAGAAGGGGGAGGGGAAACTATCCCTAGTGAAAGTAAAACTGAGCAGATTAAGAAAAGTCACAGCGTTAGATAGCAGCTCCTCCTTGGAGCCTCCACTGGTTCCCCTGATTCCTAACCCAGGGACAGAAGAATCCTATGCTCCCTCTAACGCAGAAGTTTCCTATGGCTTCTTTTGCAATCTGTAACAGCCCCACTGTATGTAAAATAAGGTGCAATGGTGAACACCCAGGGAAGTTTGGAGATGGGGATCAGAATCTTGTCTGCCTCTTCTATTGAAATATGGCTTTGCCAAGAGGGGGTTGGCATTCAACTATTTGCTGAATAAAAAAAATATAAAATAATGGTTCATTTGCTCCGAAAGGTTATTGTTCTTTTTTTCAGTGCTCCATTAAAAAAAAAGCAATTTTTAAATCTTTAAAATCTAGACTTTTATGGCTCTCATATAACAGGTGTTCCCTAGAATTAACAGGAGCACTGTACGCACTAAAAGACAAAGTTAAAATCATGAGAAGAAACTAACATATTTGAAATCCCCAAAACAAAATAGCTAATAAAGTGACAAACAGTTTACTGAAAGGTAATAAAATAAGAAATCATAACAGGGCAAATCTACCTTGATTTCCCCCCATATTAGTCTGGGTAATCCTTCTACTTACCACATTGCTGTCTTGGTCTCTCCCCCTAGTAAACCACGTATTTGTTCCCTGAGGACTAAGACCACATTGCACTTTGCCCACTGTGTGCCAGTGTCTAGAATGATGCCAGTGCAGGGCAGGGCCTGAGTGCTTGCTTAATTGATACATCATCCTGCAGAATGAGTAAGGAACAACACCTACATAGAAGCTCTGGCTCTGGAATACTGATGCAGGTGGGCAGAATTCTTGTGTAAGTGATTTATCTAATAAAATGGCCACAAACAATGGCATCTGGGAAAGGTGACTGCACTTAACAAAGGTAGAATGGAGTTAAATGTGACACTGGGTCTTTGTTTTGTCAGACAGCTACAGTGGTGAACAGTGAAAGGATCCAGGAGGAAGAGTCCACTCTGTTATCTGAAGCACAGAAAGTAGAAAGACCTTCAACTAAGTTCCAGGAGGTCAAACAGCAGGGCACTCTTAACTATTGTATATGGGACTGAATGCGTTTCCAAATCTCTCTCACTGAACCGTAATAATACTGGGTCATGGTGACCATTGGTGAAATAAAGGATGTCATTGAACAGAGCTCAGTAAGCTTCTTAATATTTGGAGATTTTAGTTTTAAATGGCATTTATTATACTAAAACTAACGTTTTTTTATTTTTTATCATGATTTTTATTTGTGTGAAAATCCTAATTCTTTAGGTAAAGATCCAGGCCAGGCCAACTGGAATTGCAGTTGAGACCCAGATTAAATCTTTTACAAAGATAGATGATGAACTTTACTCATTCTCCAAGGAGAAAGTCCAAGAATCCTATATAAGACCAATTGGTAGAAGAACCAGCAGAATGACTAGTTGCTATGATGCACACTGACCACCAGGGAGCAGACGCTCAGTGCAACTCCCAGCCCACAGGCCCCAATCAGCAGTGGCGGCAGGGGGTGGGGCTGGCAAGTGGGCAGTGCCAGGCCAGTCAAGGCAGGTGCCAGTGGGACACCTTCCCTCCCATCGCCCCACTGGTTGCCCTGAAGAGGGAGGTGACTGGTGGCAGCGGGGGAGAAGGGGGGCAGGGCAAGCAAGTGGGCAAGTACTAAACCAGCCAAGGCAGGTGTCAGCAGGGGCTCCCCGATTACACCACAGATCAGCTCTGATTAACCTATGAATTTCATGCACCGGGACTCTAAAATATAATAAAACTGTACTAAACAGAAAACTGAAAATGGAATTAACTAAGCCTCTAGATTTTTAAGGCAATAGAAAAAGGAGGTTGTGAAATAATCTTCACCCATATGCCTAAGACTCTATCCCTTTATACAAAGAAGATAACAAAAAAATCTCCAGGCTCCCCATTGAAATTGGCTCTCATTGGCTTGGTGCAAAAAGTTGATTATCCAACTTATTTACCTTATACCTTAGTTGATACATATTAATAAGTATTCTAGATACTTATATATATTAGGGCTAACTAAAGGAAGTAGGTATTAAAATACGCTCCCCAGCAGAAACCGGTTTGGCTGAGTGGATAAAGAGTAGGCCTGCGGACTGAAGGGTCCCGGGTTCGATTCTTGTCAAGGGCATGTACCTTGGTTGCGGGCATATCCCCAGTAGGGGGTGTGCAAGAGGCAGCTGATTGATGACTCACTCTCATTGATGTTTCTAACTCTCTATATCTCTCCCTTCCTCTCTGTAAAAAAAATCAATAAAATATGTTTAAAAAAAATAACATATGCGCCCCATTATTAAGGAAAGGCAGTTGTTATATAGGGAGATATGGCATTCATAGTAAGCTCCAATTAATAGCATGCAATTTAGCAAAACTTGCCAGCACAGGTATATTCAAGGATCAGCTGGAAATTCTTTAGTTAACTCCCACTTGAGTATTTTAAGTCTCTGCCAAATGAAAGAATATACAATTGATTTTTTTTTTCTAAACGATATCCTTAGATCACTGCTAGGAAACTCTTATTCAATTTTCAGATTTATATTCATGAGAAGAACTACCCTAAGGAGTCTCTAGAAAATACAGTTTAGTGAGCAATTACAAAATAACACAGGATTCAGTTGACTGTACATGACAAAACTATTCACAAAGGCATGGGGAAAGAGTAAAATGCAAGCAAACTAGTGGAATCCAAGATTACAGAATCAAAATTCTAACAAAACAAAAAATGTCTGATGATGCTGAAATCATTCTAATTCCATTTTAATGTGTAACACTAGGTCATTAATCTTAGAGTCTCTATCACCCAGAGTTACCTCTTACTTCCTGGCAACTGGAGAAGCATGTGAATGACATATTTGGATTTTAAAGAAATTTTAGGGACAAGTGGGGCAGTTAGGGAATAAAAGGGGGCTCATAGGGAGGAAGACATATATTCACAGAGGCCAGAGGAATGTTACAAAATAGGGGGGGGGGAAAGGGGGCACCCAGTGGGCTTTGAACTTTGAAACTGATATTCTGCAGGAGTGTGACTGATTAGGAGAGCACAGGGGAAATAAATTAAGGAAGAGTCCAATTAGAAAGAGACATATTCAGACAAAGAGCTGCCAGCCTTTATAAACTCATAGACAAAGAAAATGAGATATCAGAACTGATTTTTTTCCCATTAGAGGGAGCAAGTTTTTCCCAATAGGGTACCCCTCCCCCAGGGGGAGTTTGTGTACATTTATAATAAAA